AAGTTCAAACTTTATTTTAAGTTCAAATAAAAGGTTCTATGATCCTTTTTTCTTTGCTAGAGGTACGCGCTCAAACTTTTACAAAATTAATTTTTGCGATTCAAAAATGATAACAAATGACTTTGAGATTATGGTGCAACATAGGTCATTATTGGGGATAATAGTTGAAACATTAAGTCTCAATTTAAGCCCAAGTGGAAGGTTCTACGACCTTTTATTTCAGTGCTAGAGGTACTCAAAGTTATCCAAAAATCGATTTTTGAACATTTAAAACCCGTTTTTCTCAAAAACTAGAACTGATAGGAACTTTTCGTTTACGGATTTGTGTTCAGCATGAAAAACAGGTCTGACATTTGCCGCACCAAAATCAGTGTTGGCCTGTGTTATTTATCGATTATTAATTAATTAATAATCATTTATTAGTTATTTATTACTAAATATCTATAAATACATTAATAAAATTATATTCGTATTATGAAGAGTTCTAAAGTTCGCGCGTGAAATTAACCGGCTGTCGGTAAAAAAAAGGCATTCTCGCTCAGTTAAACAAGGCGAATATGAGAAAAATAAAAAATAGGCACATTTATAGGAGTGAACGCATGGTTTATACTTGTGTGTGTGGCCGTATGGAGGGAGGCGCTTAAACGGCATCACTGGGTTTCAGTCGCACATAGTATAAATTAGTTGAGAATTATTTTCTAAACGAAATAAGGCATGATTTATTTAAATCGGATCATTTTTAAAAAAAATTTAAAGAAGCGATAAGGACAAAATGTTGATTAAATGCAAAATATATATAAATTAATCATTTTTGTACGTTTTAAACTTTTTTCTTAAAACTAAGTATTTGTTCTTAACATTTTTAAATGTAATTAAATATTTTTTTCTGGTGGTCTGGATTCCCGGGTATAAACGACGCATAAATAAACTCTAAAATTAATTTGTCAAAATTTTCAATTGTCACACTGAAAGAAAATTTATTTGATTTAAATACTCGATTACATATTATCAAATAAATATTTACTCGATCCAAATAATTCTTATTTGAATTAAATTACCTAGAATTTACTTGGTATCTAGGGATTTTCGGGGTCGCTGATTACAAATTTGAAGTCAAAGTTTGAAAATTCAAAATGGTGGATCCTATATGGCGGAAATGTTTTCAAAACTTGATTTTTTTGCTTGTGTTATGTCCGACAACGCAACATAATTAGTAAATTTTAATTTACTTTCAAGTCTAGACTCATTTTCCACAACTCAGGAATCTTTCAAATTGGTTTGTTTTAAAAAGGGGTAAATTTAAAAGGATTGAAAAAATAATAATGCACTAAATGCACTGAAATCTTTTCGGAAGGTATATAAAAAACGTTATGAGCAAATTTTTAAAGGAATAAAGAAACTAAAATGCGCAAATTAATCACACTACGTCCTTCGGTACTAGAAGTTTGACAAGTTAATTAAAGAAAAGAAAGAACATTGATAAATAAAAAATTACTTACTTTTTACAATTTCATTTATGATGATTGTGGGAAAAACTCGTTTAATAATGAACCTTAGACCCGTGGTACATAATAATGATATTTTGAACTGGAACTTTAAAGGTAAAACTGACTAATCACTAATCATACTGACTTTTTCATTAGGGTATTTAGTTTTTATGTTACTATCCCTTCTTAATTTTTTAAGACGGGTACAAGTTTGGGGATGAATATTTTTAGAGTGGGAAATTAGAAAAGATGAATGATTGGATTTATGAAAAACAAAAATAGAAAATCTTATCGAAAAAAATATGTCATTGGGTCTTTTAGGACCGGCCTTTGCAAGGGATGACTAGGGTGGGCGTATCTTAAGATTAGTGTCTTAAAAAGGAAAGGATCTAAAGTTCAAACAATTTTTAAAAGATGGAGCCAAGATTCACTTTTTAAACAAATTTTCAAAATTAAATAAATTCTTCAACTTATTTAGAAAATACTTATTTTTATAATTATTTAATTATATAATATTAAAAAATACACACACATACATATTCATACGTACACATAGACATATATGTATTTTTGTTTGATTATATATTGTCAAAACAAAAAATCCAGTTTTAAATTATCTTTCCGTTTTCCGCATACCAATAAAATCACTTGTAGCTTAAGAGCAAGATTTTTTTTCAAATCATAGTTGCTGGTATAGCTCGGTTGGTTATGTATTGCGTTTGCGTTCGTCCAACCCGTGTTCGATCCCCGGTCCCCCAAATTTATTTTCAAAATTAATTTCGTTATTTAAAGTCTCTAAAAAATTACTTAATCAAGTATGAGTCCCTAAATTTTAGAAATTATTTTGTTTTCATATTCGAAAACTGAAATTTCTTAAATTAATTTATTTAATCTGGGCGACAGGTACTCTTGGATCTGTTGTGAGAAAAAGAAAAGAGAGAAAAAAACCCGAGCGGTCAATATGTGGAAGATGCACTCATAGACTTTTGTATCGATTTTATGGTTATATTTTTTACATTTTATTGCTTACAAATGTTTTCGGTTTCTATGAATTTTGTGAATTTCACATTACAACCTGCAAGTGTTTACACCACTTTAGGTTTAGTATTTCATTATTGGTTCTGAAAGGAAGAAATAAACAATTTATACTAAAGAAAAGAAACATAGTTTTGGTGAAACAGATGTTTTTCCTTGTAGAATCGATAAAAAATTTACAAATAAAAATTAAGTGGAAAAAGAAAATAACTATCATAATTATCAAGTTTCATAAAATTCTAAAAAAATATTCTATCATATTTGATCAGTTGTTATGAAATTTCAAAATTTATCTTCTTTCTAATCAGTGACCCGAAAAACTTCTACGAAACCATTTTCAAATAAAATAAATCAAGTTTTAAATAAATTACTGACATTTTGAATTTTCTAATCTGACTTCAGATCTGACCCTAGATAACAAGTTACGTGAAAATTAAAATAAAATGTATTTCGTCTGCCATATTGGATCCGCGATATTTTGGATTTTGAAAATTTTACTTCATATTTGTATTCAGAGATCCGAAAAACCCCCGAGGAACAAGTTTTAAGTAAATTAAACAAATTTTTTAAAAATTTGTATGATACATAAAATCTCACGGTGCGCCAGAAGGAGGTTTAAATAAAATGAATTGGCACTTAAAAATTCTTTTTGATTATGGTTCTAAGATGAATAAAAAACTTTTCTCAATAGGTTTTAAAATCAGCTTACGTGCCCAATTTAAAACAAATTGAGTTTTAAATATTTAAAAATAGTGTTTTATGAGGAACCAGAATTTATTTAATGTATACTTATATGCGTATAGATAATAGTTGTTTTAGATTTGGGTTCATATAAATTTATTAACAATGAAGTTATTTTCTTGTTTCGTTTTTATATTTATACATTAAGAGTGTCGAACGGTATCTGAAATTCTTTGGCAAGAAGAGAGCTTTAATTATCGCTCTGAACGTGAAATAGTATTGATTTTAAAATACTTTTTTCTCGAAACACGAACACTTTTAACAAAATCCTCATCTTATAAATTTCCTAAATCCAAAAGACTGTACGAATCCATAGAAAAACATGGTTGCAAAACAAAAAGTAGAAAAGTAATCTAATAACTGCTGCGACTTTGTGCGCCCTGCATGCTGCTGCCATCTGACGGCGGCAGGAGGTAATGTACCTGTCATTATATTACTTTTCGTTTTGCAATCGTGTTTTTGTATGGATTCGTATAATCTTTAGGATTTAGAAAATTTATATAAGATAAGGATCTCTAGCTGCTTTTCTAAAAAGTGTCCGTCTTTCGAGAAGAAAGTATTTTAAAATCAATGTTTATCATTTTCACGTTTAGTGCCGTTTTTATAGAGCGATAATTAAAGGTCTCTCCTTGCCAAAAAATTTCAGAGACCCTTCGACTCTTTTGAATAAATTTTGTCACTCTTAAAATCGTTCTTTTAACATTATAATTTAATTTTTTAAAATTGGACAAATACTACCGCAATATAATTATTTATATGTAAAATTGAAAATAAGTAATTATTTTATCATTTATTACAGTATTTATTAAATTAAATAAATTCTGATTCCCCATAAAACACTGTTTTTATATAAAAACTCAATTTTATTTAAATCGGGCACGTAAACTGATTTTAAAAACTATTGAGAAATGTTTGTTATTCATCTAAGAATCATAATCAAAAAGAATTTTTAAGTGCCAATTCATTTTTATTTAAACCACCTTCTGGCGCACCGTGATCTGCTACGTTTTTTGAGATTAAGAAAAAAGATCCTGATGTGATTGAGTTACTCGATGGGGTACTCAGATCAACCACACGTTTACTTTTTTTGTGGGACTGTGATATAATTTTAAGATATTAAAATTCTACGTAATGAAATTCTCTCAATTTCAAATTCTGACAAATTAATTTTACAGCTTATTAACTTGTCTCGACTTTTTTTCCTTAATGTTTTTCAGGGTGACCGCAATTCAGGGAAAAACTGGAAATCAGGGAAAAGTCAGGGAATTTTTAAAAATTCTTTAAAAGTCAGGGAATTTTGATTAAAAGAAACCACAAATTAAAAATTTTTGATACATAAAATGTCAATTCAGTTTTTTTTATTTAGACGTTTTTGTAATATAGCTCATTATAATGGTGCCATCAGATTTTTTATTTTTCAAAGTATTTACTTTTTTCATAATAAAAGTTTTAAATATAATTAAATTTTGTTATTAAACAATTTTTGATTATCTTATCGTTTCCTTTATGAATAAAATTGTTACTTAAAAAGCATTATAAAAATTTCAATCAGCAATGCAGAATATTAAATAATTCAAAAGTTTTTTAGTCAGGGAAAAGTGAGGGAATTTTGAAAATAAAATTTTGCGGCCACCCTGTTTTTCTTATTAATCATCGTTAAATTAAAAAAAAATCACCAAAAAAACGTTTATTTCTTATTGTATATTATTGAGTTTAATAAATTTTTAATTGTTTCAGAAATTTAAGTAATGCAGATGAAAGTATTACTCCCTCAATTTCACTTATTCCAATAAAGCAAGAGCCTAACAGTAATGGCTTAGATGAACCTAGTGCTACATGCAGCAGTCTACCACTACAGTCATTAATAAAGGTTTCACCACTAAAATCATTGTTAAGAGATGATCTTCGAAGGAAAATGTCAAGTACTTGTAATAATATTAATAATAATAATAATAGTAATAATAATAACAACAATGGCTCAACTTCTAATATGCATTCACGGGGTGAACCTTTATCCACGACAAAACAGGAAACTCGTGCAAATGGAATGCAATGTACACACTGCAAAATAACTTTTCCTGATCAAACTTTATATTTTTTACATAAAGGTTGTCATAGTGAAAGTAATCCATGGAAATGTAATATTTGTGGTGAACAGTGTTGCAACTTATATCAGTTTAATTCACATTTACTTAGTAAAAGTCATCAGTAAAGAAAATGAAAAAAAAAACAATAGATTCTATAAGACTAGTAGGGTATTCATTTTAATTTATTAAGAAAAAAAATAACGGTATTTTAGAGTGGCCTTACTCTTTTAAAACACAAACATTAATTAACATAATTCGTACATAAATTATTTCATAAAGCTAATTATAAAATTATTAGACAAAAAAAAAAATAATTAATAATCTCTTTTTGCAAGACATTTTCGCTTTTAGAGGTGAACAGAAAATTCTATTATTTTTTATTTTTTTTTTAATACTTCTATCACTACTAAAATATATTTAAGAACATTTATGTCCTAAAATGTTGATATAATTTAATATATATTTTTTAAAAATATATTTTTATTCAATGCAAATAAAAAAAGAAATTATAAATGATGTAAATACTATATGACTAATGTAAATTAAAATTTGCATTAAATGTAAAGTTCTAAATTTTCCACTTTATTTAAAGTAATATAACTGACGGTGTTAGTTTTAATTTCCAGAGTTTATGTAGAAAAAAAAACTTATTGTTATTTTAAGTTTAAAAAGTATTATTTAATTCTTTATTTGGCTAATAATACAATCTTTTATATTTAGTGGAAAATTTCATTATATGGGGCCTTAACACTGAAAGCAGGATGACCATAGAAAACTTTAGGATATTAAGATTTTTGAATAAAATAACTTAATTTTTTTTTATTCAACATAATTTAATTCTAAGAAATAATTTGCTTTCATTTTTATTATTAACAAGGCGTAATTAAAATAATATTCTAAAATAATAATTTGGAAAATTATCATTTTATAAAAGAAAATATCACAAAGAGAAGAAGATTAGAATATAAAAAGAAAAAATAATTATGTTATTTTGTGAAAGCTATTCTACAATTTGTCATAAAATTTTTGAGTTTACGTATTATAACTTTTTTCGATATTTGAAATAATTTTTTTTTTTTGCATTAGGAAAATTTTAATTTCTAAATAAATTGAAAAATTTTCTTTGACTTTTCAAACAAAATGTTTGTGTCACAAATTTTTAATTGCATAATTTTTTTATTTTTTTTATTATAAACTTTTTGTCGAGATTAAAATAATATATTTTGTTGATTAAAAAAAATTAACATGCCTTTAAAGGTTTTAATTTTTCTTTTTTTCATGTCTTTCACAAAATGACGCATTAATTTAGTTTGATTTTAAATTATTTATTTTCCCTAGGAGACTTACAACCAGTGAAAATTAGAAAAAAAATTTTATGTTACATGAAAGTAGAGTCAAAATTTTTATCTATGAATATATTTCATTAAAACAAAAGGAGCATTCCATTGAACTGTCAACTGTTAAATTTCAGATTTAATAATTGCACATTTTGTTGTTTTAGAATTCATTTAATAGTTAACAAACAGATAATTTAAAATTTCAATTATTTTGCAAGGCAATGTTAATTAAATTTAAAAATTTTTTTCCAGTAATTTTTAGCACATGATCTTTTTTACTGTTAGATAAAACTTTAATTCATGAAAGTTGTAGAAAAAGTAATTAGTTAATATTTTTTTCAAAAATTAATATAACTTTAATTTTCAACTGATTTGTTTAAATAGTAATTAAATTTTACTTGAAATAAAGAAAATAATTTTCTGAAAAGAATATTTAAATTATAATTTGAACAGTCTTTGAAACAAAATAAAACTGATTAGTTAATTTAGTTAAATTTTTTTTAGCTTGTGGGCTTAAAAATATTATTGAAATTTATAAATTTTTTAAAGTTTTTTAAAGATTTTATAAATACATTTTTTTTTGTTTAATATGCTTCATTTTGGAGTAGTAATAAAGTACATACCTAAGTTTGGTACAACGAACATAAATTAAAACCCGAGAAAATTTTTGATGAAAAATTTTATAAAATTCTGAGAAATTAAAAAAAAATTGAACCCAGTAACTTAAAAAGTTGTTTTTCTGACTCAAAAATAACTGATTCAAAAAAATTTCAATGAAAAATAATCATTTATTCAAAAATAATTAATTTAAAAATAATTAATTTTAAAAATCAAAAAAAAAAATTTTTTATCCAATTCAAATTTCTCAAAAATGATGAAAACATTATTTTTCCTATTATATTAACGTAATTCCAATGGAAAAGAATAATTTTTTCAAAAATAATTAATTTTAAAAAATTTTTTTGTCGAATTCACAGATTATATAAAAATTATTAAAAACTATCAAAAATAATTAAAACATGATTTTTCCTATTATTTTAGCTTAATTTCAATGGAAAATAGTAATTTTTTCAAAAATTATCAAAAAATATTAAGTATTATACTTATTTTATACTAGCAAAATTAAACGCGCGCAAGCCCGCCAAATTGAGTATTTAAATTGTTTGTTATAAAGAAATTAAGGATTAATATTATCAATAATAATTTAATTTATTAGAATATTATTACATATTAATTGATAATAATGAAAATTATATGTTTTACAGGCCTCGGATTATACGACTTTTATCGACTTATTTTAATAAAATGCGACATTTTTTTACATTTGAAAATAAAGGTAAATAAAATACATTTTTTTAGTATAAAATGTAGATCTTCTTCAGATTTTCTTCAATTCAATTATTTAACAAATTTTGAACTAAAATAATTCTTCACTAAATTAATTATTTTTAATAATTTTAATTAAATACATCACAAATTCAATTATATCAAAATTATTTTTCAATTAAAATTTTTATGAAATTTAACAATTGTTTATAATTTAAAAAAAAAAAATATCACAATAAAATTGAATTATTTTTTTTAAATTTCAATTCAAAATAAACTAAAATTCAATTATTTTCTAAAATTTCTATTCAAAATTAATTATCCAAATTTTCAATCAAAAATGAACTTAAATTAAATTATTATCCAAAATTTCAATTAAAATTCAATTATTTCCCAAAATTTTCAATTCAAAATGAATTGAAATTCAATTATTTTCCAAATTTAAAATCAAATAAAATTTCATTATTCTCAAAAATTTGAATTCAAAATTAATTGAATTTTCAATAATTTGAATTTAAAAGCATCTAAAATTTAATTATTTCTGAAATTTTCCATCGAAAATTTTTTTTTTTTAAATTTAATAATTTTAATTATAACTCTAAGGAAATTCAATTATTTTTAACTATTTTAATAATATTCTTTGAAATTTCAAGTATCTGAAACCATTTTTCAATTAAAAATGATTTTCAAATTATTGTATTTTGTGCGGATTTTCTAATCAATTTTTAGTGAAATCATCTAAAATTTTAATTAAAAATCACTTAAAGTTTCAATTAATTTCAAAAATCACAATTTTTAATCTTTGAAAATTCAATTAAATTTAAAAAATATTTTCCAAAAATTGTTTGATAAATTATTTTTAGTTCTGTAAAATTAAATAATTGTTTTAAAATTAACAATATCTTTTGAAATTTAATTATTTCTAATAATTTCAACTTTAACCCTTCGAAAAGGATTATTATTAAAAAAAAACAATTTTTATTTAAAAATCTGTAAAATATTTTTGTTAAAATAAAAAACAAATCCACTTTTTTTGGAATATAAATCGACTAAAACGACTTTTTTTGTGTCTTTAAGTTGATTCGAGGCCTGTGTTTTTATAATTAATATTTAATAGGTATTCGTTGGCCCCTGGTACCTTAAAAATTAATTTTTAAAAATTCAGCTTTGAATTTTCGAATTTGGAATTTTAAAGAAACTTATTCCGAAATCTGGAAACACAATTTGACAACTTTGGCAAAAATGAGAAAAAGAATTGTCAAAATTTGACACGTCATAAGATTATTATTCAAAAAAACATGTAAACTCAGAAAAGGCCAACTTCAAGTTAGGACAGAAGGACAGACCAAGCATTTTATTATTATATAATTATATCTATCTAATATCTAATTTTTTCCCAACTATTTATAAATTTTTCGGATTACGATTTGGGTTCGTTGTACCAAACGTAAAATACTTTATTTCTACTTCAAAATGAAGGGATTAAGCAAAAAAAAAATTGTGCCTCAAAGTTGCAGTGGAATTTATATTTTTTTTCGACTAACTTAACTAAACTAATATTGGAAAACAATTGAAATTTAAAAAAATTATTTTTTCATTACTTTTTCATTTTTCAAATGAAAGGCAACAAAATGCTCTAATATTAAAAAAATCTCAGATTCAAAATTTTCCGTCTCCATGGATAACGCTCTACATACAATATTCTGAGGTGAAAAAATTTGCATTAAATAAAAGTATCAGAATTAGCCTGTTTTTTTTTTATTTTATATATATAGAACAGATACAAATTAAATAAAAAAAAAAAAAAATGCAACTAACCCTCCTGTATTTTAGTAATAAAAATATTAGCAATTTTCAATCATTCCACTTATTACTTTGTTTTCCGTTAAGATTCATATGTGTTTGTTCTATATATATGTTGAGTATTGTAAAAAAAATTGTATATTTTTCAAAATGTAATTGAATTTAAGAAATTTTATTACCTCTTATGAAGGTAATAGAATAATATAAGTGTCCTCTACATCACCAGATTGACCTTCTAGAATAAGAAAGGCCTTGAATAGAATATTGTAAATTAATATAAAGAATAAGTAGAATACACTTTCTGCACGTGAAAACAAAAAAGATGAAACTGTAGCTGATGGATATTTTTAGTACTCATTTGTAATAAATGCGATAAAGGGTTATTTTTTTTAGAATTTAAAGGCATTTCGCTGATCAGGTTGTGAAAATATCACTCTAATCACTTTAATTAATGTTTATGTGCTTATGAATTCATTACACATTAATTTATAGTGCGCTGTGCTTTGAAAATTTCCATCTTTAGTCGATGCGATTTCTGATATTGTTATTGACGAAATTGTTTAATATATATTATATATATATAAAAAAAAATTTTCTTATGTCAAATTAAAATAATTTATATATTTATGTTATAATTGATTATTGTTATTTAGATGTATGTTTTTCAAATCTTTTATCAACTGTTTTATTCTACTTTATAATTCATATATATATATATACATATATAACTGAATGTTAGCCGAAGTATTGGAATTAACAAAATCGAATTTTTATATGAGAATTTCAACGAAAATACATATATATATATATTTTTGGCAATGTTTTATAAGAAGTATGTCATATTTTCTTGTAATAAAATTTAATTCTATCATACTTGTATGCGTCGAATTTGAGGTTCAAAAGAAGTGAATTTCTATTTTAAAAATAACATATTTTTAATTATCCTCAATTGGTTAAAAAATATTTTCGAAAAATGTTATTAGAAAATTATAAATTTAAAATTTTGTCATTTAGTAACTTGTACGTGTTATTATAATGTAAAATTTGTTTTTATTTACAAATTTTGAAATATGTACGCTAATACAAGATACACTTGAAAATTTATACACGTATATTAAAAATTTTTTTATATTTTATGGAAACCGATGATTGGTGGTTTGTCATTATTACTCAGCGGATGTTTATATTCATTTCTTGCACTTTGCAACACTTTATAGTGACAATAAACATTTCAAAATATTCAAAAAGTCTTTGCTAAAGTTCTTGTCACATATTTCTTATAATAAAAAAAAATTAATTAATTCTTATAATAAAAATGTATATGTGACACTCCACGAGAAAAAGGACTTTATAGTTAAGAAATTTTATTTTTAGTCATAATTTTACCGTTATAAAAAGCTTCTAATTAATTAGATAAAATCAAAAGTAAATTTTTTTTTTTTAAATTTTCGAATGTAATGAAGGCTTAAACAAAAATATTTTGTATCAAGAATTTTTTACTTTAAAAATCCACATATATAAAGTAATATTTTTTTACGATAAGGTCCCTTTTATCGTGGAGTGTCACATATAGACAACGACGAAGATATTAATTTTGAAATTTAATAATCTTGTCCTTTGTTCGCTTAAAAATTCAATTTCACAACTTCAATATAGAATCCTTTCTGACAGTTAAAATTATCCTCTCCCTGTGTATTTTGACGCAATAAACAAAAATCTAATGTCAGATTATCTTTAGAATTAATTTTTAATCTTAAAAAATTTTTTTGTATTTTAACTACCGTCAACTATGGGGTAATTATATCCGCACAAAAACTCTATTTTATAAGGTGTTTACTAAATAAATAAAAACGTTCTTCTTAAAAGACAAATAAAATATAAACTGCTTTGTAACTTGATATAACACATTTATTGAAATGTTCTCAAATATAATAATGACGGTCGGACGGAACAAACGGATCAAGATCCGGGATTTTTGACAATCAATCTACAACTGACTAGAAATTCTTGCCCGCCAATCTTTATCGCTTTCTTCCCGCCTATATTAGTTATTAATCCCGCCAAAATATATAGATGGCGCTTTGTCTCTTAAAAATCACTCTTGCCAATATTCAAATTACTATCTTTACATAAAAATTTCTTAC